CTAATGTTTTGGGACCAAATTCGAGCCTAAGCCCATGAGCCTAAAATCTTGTCCAATCCCAACCAAGAATGGATCAGACTGGCTGGTTCATTGGGCTACCCGACATATGAATAGGTCTCCTTGGGAGGGATGTTTTTAAAAAGGAAGTGAACCGGGATGTAAAAAAAGGAGGAAATATTGATACCTAGAGACATTCATGGATTCCTAGTTTGGATGCTTGTAGGATTATAAGGTCTAGGCCAAGCGAGAGAATGGATACCTCATCAAGTCAGTTTTGGGGCTGTGCAAATAGTTACATTATTTCAGGTAACACTATAAGGGAGAAATCAAAAGAAAACTATGCCCAACAGGAAGCAACATATACCATAGGACAAACAGCCCAAAAGGAATACTAAAGGTATTAGAGAAGAAAGATAGGGCATTAGCCGCTTCAATTCAAGAAGTAGCAGCCCCATCTGAATCCACTAAAGAGAGGGTGAAAACAACTTGTTGTTCTTGCTCTTCTTACTTCGCTTTGGGGGTGGAGGTCCTATAGTAACAACAAGCACAAGCAACACGCTTGTTCAAAAGTACTAAATGTGCATCATTGTCGCATGCCAATGTAGTTATCAAGGGTTGCTTCTTTCTTAGGCCCATCTCCCTTTCTTAGTTTCACACTGGTTTAACGAAGAGATAATCATCTAATTGCAGTGGCTACTCTCATAAGAAAGTCACACTGGTAGGCTCCTTCTACTTTACCATTAGTTAATGATGGATCCTATAGCCATGGTCACACAAGTTACCAACAATGGTTGAAGATAGGCATCTTTTGCTTCTGTGGGTTAATTGGGATTTTGGACAGATGGCTATTGATGGTTCAACTGTATTTTGAGTTGCAAGGGGATCCCAAGGAACAATGGGTTCAAAGTGGCTAAGCATGGGGTTTGAGGATAAGACAGTAGAGTGGTATTGTTGGTACCAAAACTACCAACCTCAACCCACTTGATGGCATTTCGTGGCAGCCATTGATTGTTGATTCAATGGACATTAGAATCCTAATCTATAAAGCCACCTCACAAAGTTGGTTCAAATTACATTTGTTCAAGGGTATGTCAAAGAATTTCAAAGATCATCTAGTAGGATTAAGGGACTACTGGAGGAACACCTGGTGGGATGTTTTGTTGTTGGACTTCACCCAAGCGATTCATCTCGCCTAACACAAAGAGGAAGAATGGATAGCTATGAGGAGAGCCACAATGAGGTATTACAGGGTTAAACCCAACCCATCAAACTTTCCATCGAAGGCAACACCTCAACAAACCATAAGCAATAAAAATTTTCTTAAGGTTAAGAAGTTGGCTCTAATAAAGGTCAAAGACAGGAGAGCCAAGGGGATTTGTTATAAGTGTGATTAAATCTAGCATTTCAACATCATTGCAAAGTTTAGAAACTACCATGGATTGTAAAACCAGATGAAGGACAAACCAAACCAATTACATAAGGTACCAAAAAAAGTGAAAGGGGTGAAGATACTCCTAGAACCTTCTCTACATGGTATGTGCAACTTCTTCTCAATCAATGCGACTATAGGGTATGTTGTTCCATCATCCCTTGGTCATTCTAGTTGATAGTGGCTCATCACAAAATACCTTAGATCCTAAATTAGCTAAAAAAGCTAAATCCAACCCTTTGAAGTTATAGTAGCTAGTAGGGAGAAATTGAAAGGGTCAGGTAAATGCATGGATGTAATCGGATCAGATTTAGCAAGATTTGAATCCTAATGGATTTGAAGACTTCATATTCAAATCCAAATCCTAGAATCCAAGTTCACTTTAGTTGTTTAAAAAATACCAAAAAATTAACTATTTTTCAACTTATATATATATATATATATTAAAGTAATGTAAATATAACATACTAAATTTATTATATATACAATAAGTATTTTTATAATTTTAAATATAATTATATAAAATCTATATATTAGAATCAATAAAATTTATAATATAATCATACTTGAAATTTGATCCGGTTAGATAAATACATCATTCGAATTCAAAATAATTGGATAAGATGTTGGGTCGGGCCTTGGATTTCCGGGGTATCATTGACAAGCCTTGGTAAATGCCTACGAATTCCCTCTAATATCCAAGGTGTGAAAATCATGCTCGATTTTTTCTTACTTCTTCTACCTAGATATGATGACATTCTTGGCATGCAATGACCGAAGACATTAGGCTCGTTTTATGGGATTTCAAATGCATTGTGGCTCAAATTTTTCGAACATGAAGGGGACTATGAATTAAAAGTTCTAAAATCATCAAACCCCAAGATATTAGAGGTAGGCCCAACTACAAAGGCCATGGGCAAGGCTTATGATATCTTCTTCCAACAAGGGGTCTAATCAATGGGACCAACCTATAGGCCCATCCAACAATTCAGAAAATACTCAAAGACTTTTTAGAAATGTTCAAGGAACTATTCAACCTATATCCTCTAAGGGCCCGTGGTCATATTACTAAATTGATTAAGGGTACTATGCCTATTCATGTGAGGCCCTATAGGTATCTTCACTAGAATAAGGAAATTGAGATATTGATTAGAGATATGTTAAGCTCGAGCATCATCAATCCCAATAATAGCCCAGTTATAGCCTCATGTGTTATACATAGATTATTGGGGCCTAACTGTTGTGAGAATCCGAGATACCCATAATTGATGAACTACTAGATGAGTTACATGGGGCTAAGATTTTCTTTAAATTGGACCTTGGATCAGGCTACCACCAAATCATGAGTTAAAAAGAAGCATATTGCCAAGACAACCTTTCATACACACGAAGAACACTAAAATTTTCTTGATGCCCTTTGAGCTCACAAATGCCTCCTCCACATTTTAGTTTGGTTTTCTTTGATGATATATTAATATATAGAAGGTCGCTTGAAGCCCACTTACAACATTTATAAACTATTTTGAACACTCCAACAACACAAATTGTTTGCCAAGTTAAGCGAGTGTCATTTTGTAGTTGATAAAGTAGGGTATTTGGGCCATATTGTTTCAACCCAAAGAGTGGAGATGGACCCAAATAAGGTTACAAACATTATAGACTGGGCACAACCCAAACCACTTGGGGCCTTGCAAGGATTTCTAGGTCTCACTAGTTACTATAGAAAATTTGTAAGGGGTTATGGAGTTATAACCCAACCACTAACCAAACACCTCGATAAGGCCATAAGGGAAAACGGAAATGGGTGAAGAAGTAGGCCAAGACTTTAAGCAATTCGAACAAACCATGGTTACAACCTCAATATTAACCCTCCTATATTTTCACAACAATTTATAGTGGAGAGTAATGCCAATGCCTCGAGAACAGGAGTGATTCTTACCCAACATAATAAACCTATAGCCTACTTCAATAAGGTGTTATAAGGGATGTGTTTGGCTCTCTCCACATACAATAAGGGGTTGATGGAAATTATTTCAACAATTCTTAAGTGGTTAACCAATCATTAAAGCTTGGGGTTCATTCTCTAGTAGATACACACTCCAACACAGTGAAGGTTAATAGCCAAGCTCATGGAATATAACTATAAGATTTGTACCAAGAGGGGAAGAGAACAATCTTGTCATGCCAAAACGAAGGAGAATTACTAGTAAATACCTTCCAAGTTCCTAAATGGATAGAAGAATTTAAGAATGAAAACAACATCGGATCCGATCCATTCTTGCAATCCATCATTGTAGGCTTGCAACCAGGTAAGCCCCAGCCTAATACACTAATACAAGCAGGGAATGCTATGGAAAATGGAATAATAGTCTTGATCCCATATTCTCCTCTCAAGCAAAAGATATTTAAGGTAGTACATGCCTCTCCCATTGGGGTTCAGTTGGGATTTTTGAATACTATACAGGTTGAAATGGTTTTGCTATTGGAAAGGATATCAAGAAGTGTATTTAACAGTGTGGCATTTGTCCAAGGAATAATAAATTAGAGATGTGAATACACCCGGATTTGAATACTACTACTACAACCTCTTCTAATACCAAACAAAATCGTCTAGTCAGATATTGCCATGGATTTCATTGAAGGCTTACCTATAGATTTGTTAATGGGCCATGCTCGGACTTGATTTTTGTTAAAATTTGAATGGACCCAACCCAAAGCCCGACACCTAGCTTATTTTTGAAGAAGGTGGTCTTGTTTATTTGCAACTTCAACCTTATAGGAAAAGTGGCATAACCAAAAACTAGCAACCTGTTTTTTATAGGCCATTCCAGATGATGAAAGAGATCGAGCCTGTAACTTATCAACTAGAGTTGCCCGAGAATTGCAAATTTCACCATGTGTTCCATCTTGCCTAAAAAGGAAGCAACATAAACCCAACCTTACCTCTTCTCCAAGATGATGGAACCCTACATCTACATTTTCAGTGGGTAGAGGTAAATAATCTAGGTCGGGTAATTAACACTCTTTGGAAAAAAATTTACCGTAGGCTCCATTATAGCGGCAACCAAATATAAGATTATTGCATTTTCATGGGACTCACCTATTTGTCACATTTTTAATGCAAAATGAACAAGGCCTTAGTTATAACTTCTAATTAAACAACTAATAAATGAGCTTAACATCTATCTATTAGTTCTAACAAATGAGAAGAGCGAAAACATGTGTAGGGAGTTTGGAGATAGGGGTGCAAAATGGATCAGATCGTGATCCAATTTGATATGAATCTCATCATATTTTTGTTGGATTCAGAGGATTTTTAGGTTGGATTGTATTTTTTCTTTTAATTATTTATTAAAATGTTAAAATTTTAAATAAAATCGGATCATATTTAGATATCCGGCATCTTTTAACGAATTCGAATAACCATTTGTGAGATCCGATCGAATATTCGGATCGGATTGGATACACCTTATTCGAATCCGATCCGATCCGTTTCCATCCCGTTCTGGCGGTAGATCCTGTCGTCATAATGTTAATACTATGTTCACATGATTTCACAGCACTCACCACATCCGGTCTCTAATTCCGTCTTCCACATCAAGAGACCGAGTGCAGCGCCTACACCTCTCTCTCTCTCTCTCGTTCGCTCGATTGCTCGCTTCCATACTTAAAGAGAAGGAAAATGCATGGAACAGCTGCAACTGCTTCGCTATCAAGCGCATTTCTTCCGTTCCAAGGTCACCCTTTTCGAACCGCGAGCTTCTGCTCTTGCTTTTACTTCATTCACTCTCTCTCTTCTTAAAGCTTTTGTCTGCGACGACTAGCTTACATTGACTCTGAATGCACATTTGATGTCTACTCGGTTGTCGAAATAGGATTTCGTGGGTCTCTGGATTCAACGTTTCGCCTGCAATGGAGAAAACCGAAGGTCTGCTTCGTGGTTTGCTTTCTCCATTTCCGCACTTATTCTAGCATCTTATATTTTCCTTTCCCCTTCTTATGTTGGAATTTATGGGTTTTATGTGGAGAACAAGTTGTAAAGATTTGAATTTCTGAGACCTGAACTCTAATTTCATTGCTCCGTTGTTCTATTAGCGGTTTTTTCAAAAACAGTAACTTAAAAGCCAACCCTTGACATTGTATAGTTGAATGGATATGGAGCTTCTTTTTTTTTATTGTACGCTCTGCACGTGGTAATGGAATGTTGTTCTCAGCCTTTGGATTGACTGAGAGTCAAATTCGGACTTTTGGCTCCCTTTGTATCTTTGTTTGCAGCGCAATTTCATTTTTATTAGTACAAATGCATTGACGTACAAATTAGAGAATCATGAATTCTGGTTCACTTTTGCTTCAGGTTTTGCTCGAGGGTCTTTAATTTTATTTTACTTATTTCATATGCAAACCTACAAAACAAACTAAAATTTAAAACAAAAAATGTTATCAGAATTTGCATTCAACTCATTTTCATCCCCATACCTTTTTGCACTGTGCAAATAAAGTTGCACTTCAAACAAACTAGGCCTTTGGCTCAGATGGGAAATGGATGGGTTCCAGCACAACAATCATTTCACTGCATCTTTTACATCCATTCATAATGAAAACTCAAGTACTTTGAACCTTCCGCCTTCTCTCTCTCTCTCTCTCTCTGCTTTCTGTCTTTTTTTTTGATAAATAAAATCATCTTCCATTAATTCAAAGATTGGTTACATGCAAAATCTCCTTAGAGGCACGAGATGCTGCCTCTCCAAACAGCAAATACAAAAACTACAACAGAGATTACATGAATGTTGATGTTACACAAGAGTTATAGTTGCGCCCAGAACAATGTTTCCCTAATTATCCCTTGTTTTGCCAAGACATCGGCAAATGCAATTGCTGCCTGATCTCCCAACCCACTATACTGTTATAGACATATTTCTTGTCAGCCATTTGAATTTATTTAACTCATTTTTGTAGCCCCAAGTGACATCCTCTGAATTACTTAACCAGTCCACCACTGTCTTAGAATTTCCTTCAATCAGAAGTTGCTCCACGCCCACTTCTTTTGCAAGAAGTATTCCTTGTATTGCAGCTAACAGTTCTTCCCAGATTGAGTTCCCAACACCTAAAGGGCCAGAGTAGAGTAAGACAACCTCTCCAGCCCCATTCCTCAGTACACCTCCCATCCTAAAGGGACCCGGGTTACCCTTGCTACTCCCATCAAAATTCAGCTTCAAAGAACCAAGAGGAGGGGACACCCAACTAGTCAATACCCTTACCTTGGAGGAGGAACAACTTGCTACCAACATCCAATCCTTCCAACAATCATTAAAAGAGAAATGGTTAAATAATTCTAGAGTCTTTAACCAATGCATTGGCTTGTACATAATGTAGTCCTTTAAGGCTTGACTGCTCATTCCTTTTTCTTGGAAGATCCTGGCATTCCTTTCTTCCTATATTGTCCATAACAAAGCTACTCACGTGCACCTCCACATTTTCCTTCCTCTTTTATGGGGCCAAGAGAAAAAAGAAGGGTGGTTAAAGATTGTGCTTACTTTTGCTGGCATATCCCAATTACACCCAAACAAAGATAGAAGCCAAACCCAGAGCTCCGCAGTTACATTACAAGATAAAAATAGATGATTACAATCCTCACCATGAGATTTGCAAAGAATGCACCGGTTTGGTGAAATACAAAGGACGGGTCTTCTCTTTTGTAGGTTATCTATCGTGTTTACTTTACCATGCCACACTTCCCAACACAAAGCCATAACCTTGGAGAAGACCAGCCTACACCAGACTTTTTTGGAAGGGAAACTTTGTTGGGAGGATGTTTGGCAGAGGAATTGAAAAGGGAGCCACAAGAAAAAGACCCATTGGGGTGAATGGTCCAAATCCTTTTATCAGGTTTCGAGGGATCTAGGCAAATCTTATCAAGGAGACAAAGAAGAGTAGACAAACACTCAATTTCCTCATCCTTTAACCCTCTATGGAAACCAAAATCCCAAGGCAACGTTGACAAGTTTAAAATCGACGGAAGGAATTTTGAAATCACCTCTTTTTTTATACAAAGAAATAGAGTACAAAGATGGGAAAAGGTCTTGCAGAGGGAGATCTCCAACCCAAATGTCCTCCCAAAACCGAATAGAGTTACCAGAACAAACATCATACTTGACACAATTGAGGAACTACGGAAGAATTTTGTGAATTGCTTTCCATGGTGTAGCTAGGTTAGCCCTCCTTGATGCACCAGCATCCCAACCACTCTCTGAACATCCATGAACACTCTTCACCACTTTGTGCTAGAGTCTATCTTGCTCCAAAGGCCACCTCTGCAGCCACTTCCCTAACAAAGTTGAGTTCTTTTTAAGCACACTCCCAAGCCCTAATCCTCCTTCCTCTTTGCTTCTACCCACAACCCCCAACTAATTAAGTGATCTTTTTTACCTTCTCCCAGTTCCCAAAGAAAAACCTCTCATCAATTTTTCCAATTTCTTTGCTTCCTTAGATGATATCCTAAAGATAGAGAGGTAATGGGGTATTGATAAAAAAAAAGGTAGGTAGATTCATGAGAGTAGCTTTTATCAAAGTGATCATCCCACCCAAAGAGATATAATTTTTCTTTCACATAGCTAATCTCTTTTCGATCTTCTCCAAGATTGGGGTCCAAAACCTACTCTCCCTAGGGTTTGCCCCTAATGGAAGCCCTAAGTAGGACAAAGGCCAGGAAGAAATGGAACACTCAAGACAATCTGCAACTGCCTCAACCTCCTCAAAGTCTAGATTTACTTTGACTATGTAGCTTTTTCCTAGATTGATTTTCAAATTGGAAACTCCTTCAAAGGCTCTAATCAATTCTTTCAGGTTTTCCACCACCTCACCGAAGCCTCCATCACAGAAGATCATCAAGTCATCTACAAATTGAAGGTGGGTTACTGGAATTCGGTTTGTGCCTACTCTCCATCCCCTTATCACATCTCCCCTATCAACCCTAGTGATAATTCGACTAAACACATCAACTACCAAGGTAAAGAGAAAAGGTGAAAGTGGATCCCCTTATCTAATACCCCTACTAGCTGGAAAAGAATCCCTCACCACCCCATTTACTAGGATGGAATAGTGACAAAACTGACACAACCAGACACCCAACTACACTATCTTTCCCTAAACCCACACTTCTTCAAAACCTCTAGTAGGAACTGCCAGTCCACCAAGTCGTAGGCTTTCTCAAGATCAAGCTTACAAACAAAGCCTCTCTGCTTGGACCTCTTCATCTCTTCCACACATTCACTGGCAATCAAGATCTGATCAATTATCTGACGCCCTTGGATGAAAGCCCCTTGAGCCTGACTAATAATGGAGGGAAGGATTTCTTTAATCCTCAAGGACAGGACCTTGGCCAGGATTTTATAGATACTAGTCACCAAACTAATTGGCCTAAAATCTTTAGGATGAATAGCATCAACTTTCTTTGGAACAAGGGCCAAGAAAGTAGCATTAATGCCTCGGCTGACTATATGCTTCTCTGCTAACTCATTAAAAACCTCCAAAGATAAACTTTTATCACCTCCCAACAATCTTGGTAAAATGCCACTGTAAAACCATTTGGGCTTGGAGCCATCTAACTTGATCTTCCTCCAACCTTGGCCAATCTACCCCTTCTATTTCCATCCTCTCTTCCAAGGGTCTTTTGTAAATCAATTTGAAATGATCCACAAACTTCCTAGCAATATCATCTTGATTAGTGAATGCCTCCCCCTAACTTAGACACAAAGTTCTTTCTCCTCCTCACATTTGCCACATCATGAAAAAACTTAGTATTTCCACCACCTTCCTTAACCCACCTATGCCTCGATTTCTGCCACCAGCTTATTTCTTCCCTCAGTAGGACCTCTTCTAGGTCCTTCTTCAATTGTCCCCTCAAGTCTTTCTCCCCCTCCTCCATTCTAGATTGGGCCTCTCTTTCATCCAACTCTTCTATCCTAGAGATTAGATTCACTTTTTGCTCCTCAAGTCTTCAGAAGTGTTCCCTGTTCCAATCTTTTATTTTGGCTCTCAACCTCTGCAATTTCTTATGAAATCTTATCCCTTTCCATTTTATCCCCCTCAATTCCTCATTCCACCATAACTTTGCTTTATTCACAAAGTCCGGGTGGGTTAGCCACATGTTCTCAAACCTAAAAGGTCTAGGTCCACTAGTAAAATCTTCCACACCTATTCTTATAGGACAGTGATCCGAGGTTACCCTAGACAAAGCTCTAGACACCAAGTTTCTCCGATAGTTCTCCCAATCAACATTAAAGATAAATCTATCCAATTTCAATCACAAGGGAATTTCCTGTGGGTTAGACCAAGTAAATCGAGCTTGCAATAATGGGATCTCCTTTAACTCACAATCAACAATAAAGCTATTAAACTTTCTCATGCTAGTTCTCTATTTATATATATTAGTTTTTTTCTTCAAAATTTAAAGGGAGCTGGAAATGATGTCTATTAACGTTTAAAACAAACTATCAGTACCCTGCTGATACATACACAGGTCGATACATTGGAAGAGAAAAGGAAAAAAATAAAAGAAGAAAGAAACTAAGAAGGGTTAGACTACTACAACGATTCTTGTTCAAGTTTTTTTTTCTTTTCTTTTTGGAGAAATAATTGGAATTAACATTAACAGCAATCTTTTCGAATATCTATTGTCTCTAGAAACATCGTTAATCGTTTGGAATATCTATCCATAGAGGCCATTGTTATCAATTTGTGAGAGTTCTAAAATCCTTAGCCATTGTTATTACTTTAGTAAAACCAAAGTATTTAAGTTAGACAAAGTAAGAGTAACAATAAAACGGGCTATATGGGAAGAGAGAAATGGAAAAATATTGAGAGTAAAGAGTAATCTCATAGAGGAGATAGTGGATAACACAAGGATAAAGGTTGCACATTGGGTAAAAACAATGAAGGTTTCCAAAGACTTCTTGGTGACCGATTTGGTGAGAGCTTGGGGTGAAGTGGCAAATTCTTCTAAAGTGAAGGATAAGGTCATAATGGAGTAGAAACCACTGGCAAGTCAGAGGTTGAAGTTGAATTTTGATGGAAGCTCCTTAGTCAACTCAGGCCTGCAGGAACTGGGGGAGTGTTTAGGGATGCAAATGGTGCAAGGACTGAGGATGGCTAAGCAATTATTGATCCAACATCTGGAAATGGAGGAAGGTTCTAAATTAATCATCTCTTGGTTAAGAAACAATACTCCAGGACCTTGGATTTACAGGCAGATATTCAGGGAGATTTGTACAATAGATAACGAAGTTGGAGCTTCTTTTAGATAGGTTAGAAGAATGGCAGATTCTTTGGCCAAGCAAGAGGTGAACAGTGAACAATTATTTTGGGCTGAAATTGGGGTGAATTAAAAATTGAAAAGGGTGGCTGGGGAACTTCGTAGCTTTATTGTACTATCTCATATTTTAAAATTAATGGAATTTTCTGTTGCTGATCAAAAAGGAATTAGACTCTTGATAATACAAAGAGATTCTTGCTAGATTCCTTAGTGTTGGATCATGTTGTATGTGGAATAAATAAAGACATATTTGAATAGAGTCCAGACATTGTGAAGCTTTTCCTCTTTTAAGTTTGGGACAGCAAAAGCTTTGTCCTCCATTGTTAATGATAAAAAATAGAGTAGCTGAGTTACCTGAATGGAGGAGCTAGCAAGCGCTTAATGGCATTAACTGAAAGAAAACAAATCATCTCTGAATGGAAAACCATGCCCAGGGACTCTGCCCCCAAATCAACTCTGCCAATCTGTCCAGTCTACTTGCCTCCCTAGCATTGCTGTCTACATGAAAGTTGGCAACCTTTTTATATTATGGTGATCTGACTACACTAGTACACTAAAACCAAACATTGATTTTCTCTACCACAAGTCACAATTCCTTTTCTTTGCTTTTCTTTTCCTTTTGAGATGACTGTATTTACAAGAATATTGTGAAAGAAGTAGTCCTCAATACAACACAACCATGAAGTGCTGACCATTTGTTATTAACTCAAAATGCAGAAAAGTTGAGTCAGAGCATGGATTATATAAATAGCATTTTTTAATAATTTTTTCATATAATATTATTTCTGTCATTACAGTCTTTCAGGCAAGAAATTCTGGAAAGGTATTACCTATATCCTGTGCTATCTCTGAAAACACTATATGTTAAAAAGGATTATTATGCTGGGTGACCTGTTAATTTTTCTTATGCTATCGTTTGATGGAAACAACCTATTATCATTTGTGTAATGATATCTTGTCCGCAGAAGGCACATCGAACTCTCATTACTGCACAAATTGAGCTGAAGCCCCCTCCATACTCACTGGTGAGATAGCAAATATTGCCTAGCTTTTATTAATTGGAAATCAAGGGAAAAGTTTACACCCATCAGCTGAAATATTATGACCTCAGATTTCTCTCTTACAACTCTTGTTTTACATCTAAGTTTTTAGTTAGTTTGCATGTTTGCATATGACAGAATTCTTTGGAACCACATATGAGCCGTGAGATACTGGAATACCATTGGGGAAAGCATCATAGAGGTTATGTGGAGAACCTAAATAGGCAAATTGTAGGAACTGAGTTGGATGGAATGACATTGGAAGATATCATAATTGCTTCGTACAACAAGGGTGATTTCCTTCCTTCTTTCAACAATGCTGCACAGGTATGTCTCTCTTAAGAACATTGCTATTGTTAGGGTCTTTGTCACTGATCTTGATGGACTCCTGGGAGAACCATCATAATTTTGTTTGGGAACCAGTTCTATTTGACATTTTTTCAATCTGAATCCTTTTTGATGAGCTATGTACTTACTTAAATAAAGTATAAGCATGGATGGGTGAAGGATTCAGTCTACAGACTTCAATATTGCACTCCCCAATCATTTCTACAAATCCTAACTAGTTTAGGAATGACTAGGTTGATTTTGACCATCTTTACAGTTGTTCATTGTGGTAGTCTTCATATTTTAGTTATGCTTCATTCCATAGGCCAATAGGATTGATTTTCTTCTCGCAATAGTAATCTAATTCATGGCCCATTTGCAGGTATGGAATCATGAGTTTTTCTGGGAATCCATGAAACCAGGTGGGGGTGGAAAACCATCTGGGGATCTTCTTTATCTTATTGAAAGGGATTTTGGTTCTTATGAGAAATTTGTTGAAGAGTTCAAGTCAGCTGCATTAACACAGTTTGGTTCTGGCTGGGCTTGGCTTGCCTGTGAGTTGTTTCCATTATTTTGTAGATGATTTCTTTCTTCTTTTTTAATTTAATAATCTACAATGATATAAGTACTTTGTATCCCAGATAAGGCAAATAGACTAGATGTTGGAAATGCTGTAAATCCTTGCCCGTCAGAAGAGGACAAAAAGCTTGTGGTGGTAAAGAGTCCCAATGCTGTGAACCCCCTTGTTTGGGATTACTCGGTGGGTATGCAACTTTTGCATTGATGAATATTCATAATTGTGATAGTTAGGAAGTTTGGAACCTTCAAATTTCTTTGTGCTACCCTTGTTAACAAAGGGCTGGGAGTTGGTGTCATGTTAAACAAGGACTGGGGTGTTATTGATAATAGAAAACCCATCTATCAAGAGACTCAGCTGTGTCATCTGAGCAGGAAAAGGATACTCAAACACATCCATTCTCTCCAACAGTGGTTTGAATCAGCTGTAACCACCATCACAGTGAAGCTTGTGACACCAATAGTATTGGGATAATTTAGTGAGTCAGTATTCAATTTCAGAACATTGGGTTGCTAAATTGTCCTAATATTATGGAGTGATCTATGTATCTCCTGTAGTTCCTGTGACTGATGACAGCAGATATAAGCTCCTTCGGCGACATCTCTAAATGATACTGCTAACATTGTTTCACCCACAGCTTAGAACTTTTCAGGAAAAAACCATACTAAAAATTGTTTAAAGTAGTGTAGAAGATTATTAATAAAATCTTCTTTTAATGATAAAAAAAGTAGTGTAGAAGACTATAATTGGAACGTTGTTGTCTGCCATAAGAAACTTATACATGATTTTTTTTTGTCACAGCCACTTCTCACTATTGACGTTTGGGAGGTAATTTGCTATTGCTTATCAAGTTCTTGAAAACATAATGATTTCTATTTACGTTTTATATTTTATTGCAATCATAAGTCTTCAACTACTCACTAATACCACATGGAATTTCATTTGTCTGGGCAGCATGCATACTACCTTGACTATCAGGTGAGTTACAATTATTTATTCCGCAATAAAGTAGCTTGCTCTTCCACGAAAGAAAAGATATGGTTCTGTATTCCATGTCAAGCACGAGTTTAACAAATGTATATTTGCTTCTCTTTTCACAGAACAGGCGTGCTGATTACATCTCAGTCTTTATGGATAAACTTGTAAATTGGGAAGCAGTTAGTTATAGACTTGAGATTGCAAAGTCTCTTGCAGCTGGGAGAGAAAGAGAGGAAGAGAGAAGAAGAATAGAAGAAGACGAGGATAGAATGGCAGACAGTGAAGCCATAGAGATGTACTTGGATAGTGAAAGTGAAGATTCCGAGACCGATTAACTTGGTTTGTTCCATAGGTCCATGAGTAGGTTAATCACTGGTACATCGGCATCCTTTTTCTACTACAGAGTTTTGGGTAGTAACATATTTTTGTGACAAATGTGGAAAACTATTAGTTGATTGTCTTTAATGGACAAATAGCACTGTTTGCATTATTGCATCAGCAACGTTTTCCCTGTAAATTATCTTCCAAAATTTTGAGTCAAGAAGCATATCATATTTCCTTCTCAGTTTTACTGGGATTAAAGCCTCCAAGGAGCTTATTTTTTCACTTTAAATCAATATAAAGCAATTTCTATCCTCAAAGACATGAAAAAGAAATGCATGCAGCCAGGTCAAAGAGAAGTGCCTGATGAAAGCTCCTAGGTATGCCAAAATTTTATACTGGGATTATTTTTCTTCATTTCTCTAATCAACCCGAATCCCGAGGCTATGGTTGGTTTGGTAGAAAATGAGAATGAAACAGAAACACAGCCTAAGTGAAAGAATAATAAATAAAATAGTAACACCTTTGACTCTAGCACAGTTGGAGGATTGCAATAGCACATTAAGTGGGTAAATTTTTTAGCAAATTATTGGGAAAGTCTACTCCTAGGTTGACAAGTTAATTTTCCTAATAAAGGTTTACATTAGGCAGCTCATTTCTACCAACAGAAATGATGTGCAGAATGCAGATTATATCCAATTAAAGATGAAATGGAATGGAGATGGAATAGAGGGCTCGAAAAAGGTTTATATTAGTATGCATTAACGTATTTAGGTCCTCCATTTCCAACTACCCACTCAGTGAATAAATATACAGCGCTAGCTGGACTGGGTCTGGTCCAACTCTGATGGCAGGAAGCCAATTCACCTTACGAAGTGGGAAAAAGTTTGTACTCCTAAAAATAAGGGTGGTTTAGGCCTTAAGAACATTGTCTGAGTTAATGAAGCCAACCTTGCAAAATTAGGTTGGAAAATCCTAACAGAGTAATTAAAAGTAAATATCTAAAAGCAAGCAAGTTTTTGGATGCTAAATGCAAGAAAGGTATCTCGTGGGCTTGGAGAGGTATCATTGCAGCTAGAGAGCTTCTTATGAAGGGTTTGGGCTGGAAAATTGGCAATGGTTATTCAGTGAATTTTTTGAGAGATAGATGGAATGGAGATAAAGCTATTGCAGAGTTGGTTCTTCAAGAAATCATTGGTAATGAGGAACTCCTAGTGAGTGATGTGATTGATCAAGAAAAGAAAATTTGGAATAGAGAGAAAATATGCAATATTTGTTCCTTATGATATTTAGATGAAGATCAAAACCATTTTCATCCCATCAAATTCTAAAGTGGATGAAGTGGTGTGGTGGTATAATGCTAATGGCAAATTTTCATCAAATTCTGCTTATAGATTGAAATGTGATAGTATTTTGAACCCAATTGATAGGCTTAATTGGAAAAAGGAACATTTGGAAGCTTAAGTGCCCGCCTAAATTTCAAGTATTTTTGTACCTTTTGTTGAATTATTGGCTTCCTTTTAAGGCTCTCCTTAGATGGAAGGGGTTCAACATTAATGGTGAATGTGATGTTTATGATGAAGAAGAGGATGTGGATCATATATTTAGGAAATGCCCTGTTGCTAGGAATTGTTGGAGAATTATTCTCCCAACTATTCAAGGGTTTGATGATCAAGATAGATCCTTAAAAGATTGGTGGCTGGACCTTTCAAAGAATTTGTTGCTTAAAGGGATTGGCAAAAGGAGAAATGTGTTTTCCTTTATGGCATCTGTGGAAGAGTAGAAATTTGAGGGTTTTTAAGAATCTTTCGACTCCTCATTTTAAGGTCATTGATAAGGTCCTTGACCTGCTTATGAAATTTCAAGAATGTTCAAATAAGACTGAGGAAGATTTAGCCAAAGACTATAAATACGTAAGGTGGAATCTCCCGGATTTTGGTGAGATTAAAATTAATTTTAATGCATCTCAGATGGAGGTCGGTATGTGCACCATTGCAGCTCTTGCTAAGAATCATTTGGGTGCAGTTTTGGATATTTAAGCTTATAAATTGGATCTTACCTCCATCACTAGGGCGGAAGCTTGGGCTGCCCGGGAAGCCCATAATTTGGCATTGAATTTCACAAATTTTCCTATCGTAATTGAGGGTGATTCCAAGATTGTGATTTCTTGTCTTAACAAGTCTAGTCCGTGCACGTGGAACCTGGGGAGTATCATTCAAGACTGCTGGGAGCTCAAGAAGAAGAGCAGGAAGGGGATCATCTACAAGCATGTTTATCAAAAAGCAAATTAGGTTGCGAATTGACTGGTTCACCATGCTCATGAAGCCCAATTGACGGGTGAAAGTTGTGTATGTCGTAAGTTGCCTTGGCCTTTTGCGTTTGTGTTCTAGTGATTTGTGGGGATGTGCTACCCCCCCGGAATTCGTTTCATGCTACATATAAGAAATTGAAACAATTGATCAGTATACTCAGAACGTCACGCCTTCCATGTGGACATAAATTCAAGAAAAGGCAATTTCCAAACTTGTACTTGAGATTTCGTTTCGGAACATACTGAAATAGTTCATGCTAAAACTTAAAAAGGAAGTTGTGCTTTCGTTTCAGTTGTAACCTCATAAAATGGGAGACAAGTTAAAGCCTCCACCTGTGAGTTCTACAATCCAAAAGAAGAATAAAATCTTTCCTCCATTTCTTGTTTCAGAAATTTATTCCACTCCCTAAATATCAGTATGATAAAATCTAAACAAAGGGAATACATCATCACGCATTCAAGGAAAATGAATATCACTTGGAGATCAGGTCTGGCTCAAGATGGTAACAGTCACTGAAGCTGATGAAACCAGAGAAACAACAAATGAAAAGGCTGGAGCAGCAGGACTACTACTAGCCCGTGAGTGCAGAGTTGAGAGCACTGTGGACATCCACCCCAATTTGGGCTTCAGCCTTTTCCAAGTCAGTCGTAGCTGTGCTAAGCTTCTGGGTGAACTCCGCAAGGCCCTTTTGAACCAAGGCTGGGTCAATATGGTCAATAGGAACGGCTTCTACGGCAACTATGTCTGCAAAAGAGTTTGCATGGATGAATGCAAACCCACTGCTGAGAAAGTACTTGGTCACATCATTCCCTTCATGTACAGATAGAATTCCAGGCTTCAGCTCAGCGATGGTGGCTACATGACCAGGTAAAACACCCATCTGCCCAGTTGTTGCTGGGATTATGACCATGTCTACCTGAAAAGACAAAAAAATAATAATTGAATGCAAGGATGTTGATGTTACCATTATCTAGATATCTAATAATTGTTGCATATTAGAACCCTAGGTGCCCATCTAGAAGACTATAAGGCCAGGTCCATACAAGTATTCTTTAGGACCCAACCTGACGGTACTGTACCAGAAACTGCAGCAAATCAGATTACCACTCATTCTCTTTCCTCATGCTCACCCAAAAGAAGTCAATTAGCTTGAATTGTTGCAATCATCAGGCTAGTATGTGGTTCCTACCTGATTGATAGAACACTGCATGCTAGAATTATTTATATCAAATTCCAGTAACTCCCAAGGCTTGCATACATCAAAATTTTGATTCAGCCAAGTCAAGCAATGAAAATGTATGATTCTAACTTCATTCAACTATTAATATGAAAAGAAACTCATTTAATTACATGCAAAATCTGTTTAATTGAATTTATATTCTTCCCTAGTTATATATCAAAAGTGCATTTTACCAAAAAATGGACACTAAAGATTGATTTGATGACATTCTGAAAGCCTTGATGACATCCAATGTTTTGGAAGAACACCATTACTTATTGAGACTGCTGAAGGTCAAACTTGACATTTCCAACTTGCATTCAGGTATAGTTCTAGAACTATTTCATGCAGCGATTTTATGCAGTAGCTGTGCAAATGCCCCTTTTGATTCGTTAGCCTTTAAATATCATAACCAACAAAGTTTCAAATAGATCAGCCTTTTACACTCCTCTAACATGATAAAACAACATTATCTTCCAAGATGCTAACTTGTCTTTGACAGGTGCACCAAGGTATAACCTCCAAGTGACAAAGAATTCAAAAGGGAGAGACATTTTATGTTCCTTAATGTTGGTTGATTGGTTGTCGAACCCTCTATAATCAGTTTGCAATAGGATTTCATGTCATAAAGTGACATAATCATCCTCCCTTGGTATACAAATAGATAAATAAATAGGTATCAACTTGATGAGGTGAAGAACATAACTTTGTGTTGTAAGAGGCAACTCAACCATCACTTCCTTCACTTCCTCTAGTGTGCCACTGGAAAGTATTCAGTTTCAAGGCCCTTAACCAAAGAAATATTATGTCTATAGACACTTCAGAGATGCTCCAAATCTTTTGAGCTTTTTTTTTTCTTTTTTTTCTTTCAAATTTGATTCTCTAATGCTCCCAATCTCATTGGGAGGGGAAGGGGTAGTGAGGAAAGCAATTGAACAATTTGAGAAAAGTAGAAGAGAAAAACAAAACAAAAAGAGTTTTATTGGAGAAGGAGGCATGGGAGGAGGGAGATGGGGTGAAAAAGGAATAGTTGACGAAGAATAGAGGGAGAATGCTAAAAGCTTAGAGGGAGTAGTTTTGGAAATTAAAGTTGAAGTTGAAGCTAGTATCATGGATGGTTAGGGGCCTGGGAGATGAAAGAAGAGGAATGGTTTGTAAGGAATGTTCTGAGATAACACAATCTAGAGGTAGTGACAATGCAAGAATCAAAGGTGGTGCCTTTTGAGTTGAGAATGAAGAATTAACACTGGGGTCCAATAATGGGGAATGGGCAGAAGTGAATATAGTGGTTTATCACGAGTGTAGTTATCATCCGGGATCCATGGGTCCTTAGAAAGTCCGGAGAGAAGTTGGGAATGTTTTCAACTTTAATTTGCTTCCAAGTGGTGGAAGGGGAGTGGAGGTGAGGGCTCACAAATGTGGAAGGTTGAATAAAGGAGTGTGGAATTTTTGCAGACGGGGTCCTAGTTTTACCAGATTTTAGTCAAGTATTCAAGAGTCTGGGGACAAGCTTGGAAGTGTAGGGGTTTCATATGTGTAATCTGGATGGTCTGTTTTTAATTTGTATTTGAGATGGTTTTGTTAGAGTAGCTGGCATGTTGGTGTTGCCTTAACACCTGGATAGGATGTAATATTTTTGTTGTGTTTAATGAAATTTTATTTTAGTTTTGCTATAAAAAATGCTCCCAATCTCATTCCTTCATCACTTTCTGTTTACATAAAACATAATAAGGGGAAGAATATAATTTCCCTTCTAAGAGACAACTCCTTGTGCATCCGTAAGGCCAAATAGTCTCAATGGCCCTCCAAGTCTTTCTAGTTTTAAAGTTACTTTTTTTTTTAAAAAGTCCATTCTTAATCATCATGCCCTGATTTCTTGCATCTTGAACATTTGAATTGTACCGTCACAATTCACATTTGATATTTTAAAATACAGCATTCAACCCAAAACAAAAGTCATCAAGAAAACTGCTCAGAGATTCCAATTAAAGAAGCAAAATTGCAAAAGTGCTTGGAGTTCACCAAACATTGAACTGTCAAACCTAATTCAGAGGAAACCATTTCTTTAAGTGGGTTAGTATAAGGTCGCCTTAGTTAATTATCATAATGATCTATTCAAAGGAATCATCCAACCTTCTCGAGTCAGAAAACCTACGAGTCTTAAACAAGCCAAGCCCATTCAGTTGAATAAAGGATTTAACATGAAATGTCAGGTACGTATGCTCATAGGGTATACATAAATTGATCAAAAAGCAAGCAATGGTGTCACCACTATTCAAGGAACCAGTTCCACCAATTAGGCAATCATAGAATTGGAACCAAACTTTTAAACCTTAAGATTCAAGTACAAAAGAGAATTAAATCCAGAAATTCTACACCACAATTAAAGGTAGAATGTACTACATTGGAGAATCTAAATGCCAGGATATCCTACATTGTCCAATTGAGAAAGGAGAAACTAACTAAACGACAATCCCGGAAAACCCCAATAACCAAAATACACAAACAAGGTTCCTTTGAGAAATCCAAAACCCTAGAAAGGAAACAATACCAAATTCAAACTTCTCTTAAGTACTCAAATCAGAATCCGTCTTCTTAAATCAACCTACAACATCCATAATCGCGTAATGGAACAAAAGAGATATAACATTTTAAAATTAATTGAAAAACATACACAGAGAAACAGAGATCCCGGCTTCATTATCATCATAAATATATTCAATAACAACGAAGCAAGCAAAATAAAACATGGAAAACAAAATCTAAAAATCCAATTAAGGGAAGCAATGAAAGATGCGATCAATCAATAAACTGACCTCCTTGGTTGAGAGCTCGGATTGGTAAGGAAGAACGAAGTTGACAGTGAGCTTCCCGGGAATCGTAGAGGGCGTCGGCGGCCGAGGTTGCATGAAAGAGAGGGGAGTCTTAGGTGGGTCGATGTTTGGGATCACTTTCTTCCACGCCTCCACAAACGAAGAATCGACCGTCTGAGCCGCCGGGAGATCGGTGGAGAAGGATCGAGTCCTCATCATGGAGGTGGCTCTAGCCAGTAGGCGAGGCGCTTGTCGAAACATGGTCGGGCGGGTCGGTCGCTCGGCTGCGCTCGGTCGGACTCGCTGACGAGATTGAGAGAAGGTGCTGTGGCTCCGCTGCGCTTCTGCGTTTCTCTCCTACCTTCTTTACCCCTAATGACCCAAATATGCTTTGGGGAGCGCAGTTTAGCAGTTCAGAAGTATGAAAGGCGCATTTTAAGCACGATGATTATTTGTCTATTTGATTCGTTTATATTCATATATTGTAAAGAGTCGGGACCGTGTGATTAGCGGTGGATCGGTTTGCAATCGAATTTTGAGTTGAGTCCGAGCATGATATATAGGCTCGTTTCCTAATCGAAGTGAGTGCGAGTCATGTGCAGCTCGGTTCGTGAGGTTTGTGAATCAATTCGATAAATAAATAATTATTTATTATATATAATATATAATAAATAATTTTTATTATATAATAATATTTTATATATAACATTTTTATTTTTTATGTTAATAGTAAATAATTTTTATAATATTTATTTTTTGTATGTTATATGTATATTTTTTATTTTATATGTATAATAATAAATGATTTTTATAATTCTTAATTTTTTGTATATAAAATAAAAAAAAAATATTTTTATATATATATTTTTTATTTTTTAGAAAAAAGAATTTGGCTTGCAGTCGAGAGTTCGATTTGAGTCGAACTCGAACTTGTAAGCTTTAAACTGAGTCGAGTTCAAGCTTTTAGCAAACCAAATTCGAATAGTCAAGCATTCAGCTTGACTCAACTCGAATCCACCCCTACATGCGATGCACCAATTTTATTAATCGAAGGTGAAGTCAGCATCGTGAGGTACACAGATTTTATTAAGCAAAATTGAAGTCAAATGAACCAATGAAATTAACGTAAAAATATAGATGATCATGAACCAAGCTGAACCTGAGTCACCCAACTGATACGATCGTTGGTTTGTTCTAGCTAATGGGTGGCTGAATTGGTACAATAGTTGGTTTCTTTTAAGTGGGACTTGGAATTGAACCCCAATATCACCTATGGTTTTGGGGTTATGGGTACAAGGGATGGACTACCTCCTATTGTATAGTGTAATGAATAATAAATAAATAAATAAAAGATCACAGGTCAAATTTTAATAGTGTATTAATAGTTTTTAAAATTGTCTGGCCCAATCCATGCCCCAAGCTTCTAATTATAGGAAAATATATAAAAAAATTTCATCTAAATATCATGTATAATATTTATCATTTATGTATATAACTTCTAGGGTCAAATTGAGGGATTGTTTAGCCTAGGCCTAACCCACATAATGCATAGGCTTAGAGCGGATCCAAGTTGGGCCTAGCCTAGAGGAAAATAGTTGTGTAAACCTAAAATTTTGCAAGTTGGTTAGGGTCGTGAAATTGGAGTGATGACAATAACCAAGAGATGTGATTAGGGTGATTTTGGAGTTATCTATAGTACTATTAAAAGTATGAATGAGGTGTGGAACTTTTCATAACTAAAGTACTTATATTTGTGAATTTAGTTTCTCTTGAATTGTTAGTGCTGAAAATGTAATTTCAATTATTACTTTTTACCTCATTTAATCATTTTTTGTTAAGTCTTATATTTAAGGTATTAATTCTCATTTTCTCTCATTAAATCCTATATTTAAATTATTTTTTTTACAGTTCTACTAATTAGATCTATGTTCAATACTTTTAAGAATACAAGGTCCATGGTTTTCAAAAACCAACTGAAAAACAAAACCATTATTCCGTCTAAATGGTGACTAAGAAATTCAATAATCTAAATCAAATCAATTAACCCATGATATCATGATTAAGTATTAAAAATTTTAAACTAGAAATAAATATAGCAAACTACAAGAAAATTTAGGCACATTTCTGATATTTTACATTAATCAAATTAAAGTAAAATATGTGTGATAAACAAGAATTTCTTTTATTGACGATGAAAGCCAGAAACATATTAGTAGAGAGGAATTCAAAAAGGAAGATATGGTGGGGGAGAAGTGTTGTTTTAGCGTCATTGGAAATATTCTAACTGATAAAAAGCTAAGGGTAAAAAGAAGCTTGGAGAGGGCTCGAAATATGGTGAAATTGATGGAAGATACAAGGTGAAAATGTTAAAGGGAAGCATCTATGTTTTGGCTTTACTAGTGAAGAAGATCAACGGGAGTTTATGAATAGATAACCATGGCTTATCAAGGAATACCTTTTACTGTTAAAAGGAATGGGAGCCGGATTTGAAGCCAAATGCTATTATCAATAATAAACTAAAGATGTGGGTGAGAATCTTGAAGCTTCTAGTGGAATGCCTCACAAAGGCCATTAGGGAAAGCTTAGCTAAACACATGGTTATTAAAACCGGATCGGATCGGACGATCGAACCGGAAAACCGGGAACTGGTCAGGTGATTGGTTTCATTTTTCCCAAAAACCAGATTTCTCCCCAATAGAGATAGATGTTGGTCTCAGAGGTAAGCAAGGTTCCAAGTTTTTTTTGTATTTTCCTACATACGTTTGGAATGATCTCTTGTGTTATTACTCTGCTAAGTCTATCAATTTTGATACAAAATGTAGTATAGAAAAATTAAGTTAGGGCAAAAAGTATATAAAATTATTTAAAAAACAAGAAAAAAGAATTGTTTTTTTTACTAGGAGAAGGAAAGAAGTGCCTGGTCCTTAATTAAGTTATAAGCAAATCAAGAAAAAAGAGCATCAAGGTACAAAATTAAAGATTTTTTTTTGTATATAGGGTAGAGGAGTATTATGGTGGATTTATTAATTCAAGATCCTACATGGTTGTTAGCATTTTATATGAATATGGTATACTCAAATGGGTGTGGGGGAGCTTCCCACAGTTACAATGATAATCTTCAACCAGAATTGCCAAGGGTTAGTTTCTCCCTTGATAATATGAGTTTTAAAAAGAGTCATTAGAGATTTAAGGCCTGGCATCATATTTTTTTTATTGAAACAAAATGGTCCTTGTTGGTCTGTAAATAGAACCTTAAATTCTTAAGGAGGTGGGGCTACTGGGGTGTAGATTCGATTGGGTTATCTGGAGGTCTAGCCATTTTCTAGCTCCCTGAAACAAAGCTAAAGATCACAACAGCAAATGAGAGAGTAATCTAAATAGCTATATCAGAGAAAAAAGATCCTTGGGTATATTCTTTTAAATATGGAGAAACTAATAAGAAAAAAGGGTAATTTTTTGGAAAATTGGCAAAATTGGGCTAGCAATATTCATGATTCATGGGTCTGCATTGGAGATTTAAGCATGGTGATTAGGAAGATAAGTGTGGAGGTAAACCTTGTTTGAGATCCAAGATTACAAAAAATAGAAACTTTTTGCTTAAGGTTGGTCTAGAGGAAGTAGAAAGCTACTATGGCCCAATATCCACTTAGTCGAATAACAGAGATGGGATGGAAGAAAGTTAAAGAAAGGATTGATATGACTTTAGAAAATAGGAGATGGAAAGAAATGTTTGAGGAGGCTAAGGTGATTTGTCATGTAATTGGGGGTTTAGATCACATTCCAATACTACTTGAAACAAACCCTATTAAAAAGAGATGTAGACAGCCTTTCAGATTTGATAATGTATGGAGCACTCATAAGGATTGTGCAAACTTGATCTTTGAACATGGTCAAAAGGAAATTACAGAGACAACCAATATGCAATTGTTAAAAAATGCAAGGAAATTATGAGGAATTTGGTTAAATGGAACAAGAGGATCCTTGGTAAAATTCAGGATAGAATTAAGGCTACTTAGCTATAGCTAAGTAAGGAGAAGTCAAAGATTGGATGCTTTTACAATCATGTTAAAGTGAACTGAATGAAGAATTGAGAAGAGAAGAGATTCTTGGGGCCCATAAGTTAAGGAAAAACTAACTGAGGTTAGGACACAAAAAATACTTGATTTTTTTTCATGTCTCAACCATGAAGAGAAGAGGTAGAAATAGAATAATATCCCTAAAAGTGGATAGTGATAGGTGGGTAATGGGGAAACATATGTCCAAAGCATTGTTGAATATTTTAGTGAAATTTATAAAACATTATTAAGCTCAAGCGATACAAGGGGAATTCTTGAAAAGGTAACTAAAGTTATTAAAGAGGCTGAAAATGTCACTTTGCAAATGGAGGTGAGTGAGGATAAAATTAGATTGGCTCTCTTTCAAATGCATCCTTAGAAGGCCCCATGACTCAAAATATTAGGACATTGTGGTGGTGATGTTTGTAAGGCCATCAAGGAGTTCTTTCAATCTGGGAATCTAAGTAGAGAGATAAATAACAGCTTCATATCTCTTATTCCTGAGTGCAAGAACCCAGAAACATCCTCTCAATCCAGGCCAATAAGTATGTGTAGCACAATATAAAATAATTGCAAAAATCTTAGATAGCAGGGATCAAACATATTCTAATGAGAATCATTACTGAAAACCCAAGTGCTTTTTTGCCTGGTAAATTGACAGTAGACAATGTCTTAATTGCTCATGAGATTCTAAATTTTATGAATAGTACTAAGCAGGAGTATGGTCAATAGCATTAAAACTAGATAAGAACAAGGCTTATGATAGAGTAAAATGGAATTTTTTAAGTAATGGTTAAAATGGGCTCTGGTCAAACTTTTGTGAATTCGACCATGCAGTGTATTAGCATTATAAGTTACCAGATTTTGGTGAATGGTAGTCCAAGAAATAAAGTTTTTCTCACCAAAGGCCTGATACAAGGAGAACCCCTTGTCCACTTATTCCTAATTTGCTTGGAGGGTTATATTTCTAAAGTTAACCTAAACCGAAATTGTCCAAGTATCACCCATCTTTTTTGTAAATGACTCTTACATATTCTTAAGAGTTGACATCTCAAAAGGTTTAAAGACCATTGAAGCATTAAAGGAGTATGTATCCGCATCTGGACAATGGGTAAACCTGTAAACCTCTCCAAGTTTGAAATCTTCTTTAGTCCAAGTCTCCGTATGAAATCATAAAAAATTGTTTCTAAGGCTTTGGTCTCCCCTCTCACATGGAAAGGTCAAAGCAGGAAAACCTAAAATTCGTATGTGAGAGAGTTGAGGATAAGGCCCTAAGTTGGAAGTAAGGTTCAAAATATCGATACACTCGATACATCGATAGA